ACCAGTTTTTGGCTTTTTAAATGTTTGACTGTTTACAGTAGTGGCAGTTGTGGTTCCCTGCCTGTAGCTGATGCTAGTTAGCGTAGCATAAGCATAACTTAGTTTAAAGAAATTCAGTTGACACTTGACAATTTGTTGCAAAATGTTGAGAAATTCTTGATAATTAAAATTGCAACTACTAATGTTTTGATATCATAATTGTATGATATTGGTGCCGATAAGTTATCTTTCTGTATTACAAATATCATGGAGCTTCCGTGGCTCTGTATAAATTGTTTTTCAAGCTAACAGCCAGTTAGCTGCAGCATATGAGCGTGAGCTCCCTTGTGTGTTCTCCATTCATTGACATTTTTGGCTGTGCACCAGGAAGCTAACAAAATCAACATGTTAGCCATTAGTTCAGTATAATGACTACAACAGTAGAAAAAAAAAGAATGATACCTGTGAAATAAATGAGGCCATATCTGCAAAGCTCAAATTTGGAAAAATAACATCAATAAATGTCCTTTACTTTCCATTAGAGCAGTTGTTCTTGTTGTTGCTCTAGTGCAATGGCCAGAAAGCCAAACTGATAGTGATGTTTGAACAAAGGTGGGTGTCCAGGCAGATTGGATCACCTACATTCCGTTTTTGCACAATACAACAAGGAGCTGTGTCTTTGCGCGTGTCAGCACAAAATATTTCTGTAAGTACGTGCGACGCAGGAGATGTTTAAACTTCGCTTCAGCTGGAGGGAAATGTGAATATTAGATTTAATGTGGTGTTAAGTTCCTTGTAGAAATATAAACGTTTAAGGTTAGTGGTTGTTTTGGATCATAAAACAACACTTACACACACACACACACACTACCTCCCCGGTCTGATCTGTTTCAACACCAGGCGGATGAATGAAAAGTGTGGACCAAAAACAGTTCTCCAGGCTCAGACTTATCCTCGGCCAAGACATGGCTCCAGACTGACTTTTTATCAGCTCCTGAAAACTGCAGCCACGATAAGGAGTATTAGTTGTTGCACAGCTGACAGGTCGGCTTGATAGGAGAAGGGAGAAAAAAAGGCTTAGGACAAATGCACCAGGTTTGGTCGCTGGGATGATTACAGTCCAATTTAAAGAATGGTTCACTTTGAAGTTTGTAACCACAGAGATAAATGGAAGGAAGGGAACGAAACTGATGAAGGTTGAACTTGGGAGTAAAAAAAAGTCTGTTGTCTTCTAATTCTGTCTTACCTATGTTGCCTTTTCCAGGATGGCTAGGATTGATGATGATGAGGAAGAAGCGGCCCGCGAGAGGAGGCGCAGGGCACGCCAGGAGAGACTGAAGACCAGGGAGGGCGAGGAGCCTAGCGGACAGCCAGACAGTCTGGTCGTGACCAACAGCCACAGGTGACACACTTTCAACCACACAAACTCCCTTTGTGATGAACACGTAGTCAGCAGCCCGGCGCTCAGCTCCCGTTTTTTTTTGTTTTGTTGATATCACTGTCATGCTTCCTGCCAAGTCTAAACGGCTGTATCTCATCAATAAATGATAAACATATGTCCCTGCGCTTTGTGACAAAATGAAGAAATAATAACGGCGAAAAGTCACAGCCTCTGCTGTAGTGGGAATCCAGAGAGGAGACAGAGGTTATCCAAAGGCTTTCGGGAAGTTGAATATCTGGTTCTTTGTTCTGGCGCATTTTTTACAGCGATAGCAGAAGTGCAGTAACCTCTCAGAATTCTTAGAAATATTAAAATGTCTTCTTGAACTAAAAACAGTTGCAGCTGTCTTTTTTATTATCGCGCAAATGTCAACTTTGCCAAGGAGCTAAAAGTAGCTCTGTGATTTGGTCAAAAGGCTGATTTTATCTGACATATTAATCTGTCACACAAAATAGAATCTTAATAAACTGTGGGCTGTTTACATGGAGTATATGAGGAGACATGGGAGAAATGTCACTGCCAGTTAACGTTTGTGTACATCACCCGCCGCAGCTCTGCTGTTAGATGGGTCTGTACAGATTTAATGGACCGCTTTATTGTAAATTTGATCCTTAATTGCAAAAGAAAAAGAAACAAAACAGACATATAATATGTGTATATATATACACATGTGTTTATATATATATGTGTGTGTGTATATATATGTATGTGTATATATATATGTGTGTGTGTATATATATGTATGTGTATATATATATGTATGTATATATATATATATATTATGATACAAATAATATTTAGTGAAAAGTTCTAGGTCCCGGCCCCAACCCAGCTGTCTACTTGGTGTTATGGTTTTGGCCCATGCCTTGGAGACGGCTGCAAAACCAAAAGAGTCAGAATATTAACTCAGATGAATTTCAAAGCTATGAGGTCAATCTTCTTGGCTCGGTTGGAAGTGATAGTGGGCTGTGCTGACATCTTGCAACACAAACGATGCTTTGTGGCCCTGGATGTATTTCCTCTGTGAGATCACAGATGCATCCTGGGCTGGTCCATCAGCAGATCGTGCAGGAAGATTTAAAGTTAAAGCAGGATACAGTGTTTCCTTGTGTCAATTGTCCAGCTGCCAGGATGACATTTGGCAAACTTTTAGTTTACATCAGTTGATGGTGCGAGTCGTTGAATTGGACTCTGTCACTGGTATGTTAGCAAGTTTTTACAGTGAAAGGCCAGTAGACTTAAAATATTTGATGACCTCTTTATGAGTAACTGAGTAGATGTGGATGGATTGGTCATTTAATTGATCTCATTTGTTAACCAGCACTTACAAACTACCGTGAATGTGTGTTTGTGATATTTGGGGAGTGTGTTTAGATCAGGGCTTGATTCATTACTTGCTGTTTATTAAATATTGAGCTCTAAATCTATGAGAATAAATGACACAGAATGGTGAAAATGTGAAACTACATTTTAGTCTAATCAATAAACAAAATGAGAACATCAATCATGTTATTTTACCAAAACCCCTACAGCTTCAGTGTAAAATAATAACTTTAATTTCTGTCGTTCTGTGCCTACATTTTTTTATTGTTGTTTCTGTCAAATTCCCACAATGCATTTGTGACATTTTCCTGTTAAAGGGTATCAATGCATTTTTGATATTGGAAGTTGAAAGGGTTCTGTCCAGATTGAGCTAATTAGTGGCGCACTTAATGAAATATTTGTCTCCTCCATTTTCTGCCAGTGTGACAGAGACGGTGTCTGTGACCAGCTCTTGCGGAGGAAGCGTGGACGACGAGGACCAAGCCCTGCTGGACCGCATGGCCAAACGTGAGGAGAGGAGGCAGAGACGCATGATGGAGGCGATGGAGAGACAGAGACAGGTGGACCCCACGGTGACAGAGGACAACAACACGGAGAAAAACAACGAGGAAGAGGAGAGGCCATCATGGCGCCGGGGTCGTTACCGGGACAACGAGGAGGAGGAGGAGAAGACATACAGCCCGAGAAGGGAGGAGAAGCAGCAAGTGGAAGAGCCGGGAGAAGAGGAAGTGGCTGCTCCTGAGGTAGAGGAAGAAGTGGAGGAAGACGTGGATGAAGAGGAGGAGCAAAAGGAAGATGTGGTGGAGGAGAAACCGAAAAGATCCTACATGAGGGAAGAGGTGGGTCATCACGCCATCAGAGTGATTTTATACGTTTATTATAGGTTTTTAATGTAACGACAGACTTTTGCAAATGTGATGCTTTTCTCTGTAGGAATCGACTGATGAGCCTTCTGGCCAATCAGAGGTAAAGTTCAGGCATGGGTCTGTTGACCTCTGTGTTGCACACTTTCGACCAATTGCTGGATGTCTTTCAAAAACACAACCATGATCCCTTTTTCGTAGGAGTTGACTGGAGAAGACACACAGGCCTTAGTCAGTGAGACTTTAACTCAGAATGGCAATTCAAAACATGCTGAGTCTGCGAGGAAGACAGTAGAGTTTCCCACGGACGATAATGTAGTTAATTATTCCGAGAAAAGGTCTATGACACTCATGCATGACACAGAAGAGGATGATGAGGTATCTGAGATACTGCAGTCAGAGGATAATGAGGTATCATACATGTGGTAAGAGTTTTAGTAGAGGTTGTTACTGCACAGCACTGAAAACTCCGTCTGGGTAACTTCACTGTCTTCACACGTCTTTTCACTCTCTCAAACGTAAAGAACACTTTTGAGACAAAGCCACAAAAAAAGTCCACATTTCTCGCATAGTGATTTATTCCAGAGCCAGACGCTGAAATTACCCAGGCAACCATGTGTCATCACAGTGTGGTCTGATCCATCTGAAGACTGGTGGTGACTTGGCCAAATTTTTTAACGAGGTGTGGTTGCAGCCATGTGGCCGGATGTTTAATACGGTTAATGCTATGCTGCACAGAGTGGTCACAGTGTTGGGTTGTATTTTTTCTGCATGTCATCCTCAGTGATCCCTCACATCACACACTCAGTCCACTCCAACAGTTAAATGCAGCAGAGGAACGAACAGTAATGTGGTTTAAATTATTCTGGATTTCATACAGAAGGAAATTTTGAGTCGAAGCAAGAATTTGAACCTCCTTTTTTTAAGACACCCATAATAATAACAGCTGCAGCTAAGAGGAGTTTGGGAACCACCGGGGTTAATGTCAAGTTATTTTCATTATTTATCAACGGTTAAACCCATTCCCAAGAGCAGTGAGGTAAAACAACAGTGTTTAGCAGGAGACACTCCCAGGTTGATCACATGTTACTTAATCCTCTGTTAGCAGTAATTCTGGAGTGGACGCTGTCGGGCGTGATGTTGTGTGTTATTTTGTTTTCGGTGTGTGTTTTCTCTTCATTATTGTGACATCACTCCGATAGACGTTGAGCAACAATTCCTGCCCACCCATTGGTCGGTTCTTTTGTTTACCGTCTCTGTTTTTGCTGCGCAGATTACCGAGAGAGACGGAGTGAGGGAGGAGTGGGAGGAGCAGAGGAAGCAGAACGGAGGGCTGCATGACGAGGAGGCTCCCAAACAACACAGGAAACCTGAGAGGACTCTCAGGTAAACGGACGCAGACACGGAGAGACAGGCACAGTCACGGTGTGGTTTTTAGTCTAAGGCTAAAGATGTTGCAAGACTAACAAAAAAAAAAACATTCCTGTGATTCACGTGCCAGTTTTCTGCTGTTTAATAACATGCTTTGGGAATCCAAATAATTGCCTCATCTCAATTAGTGGTTGTGGTATTTGTGTCACGTGCACAAAATGTTTGATTTTGAATGAAGAAAAAAAACTAAAGGAGGGAAAAAAGGGATATTTCCTTATAAAGGTGATATTTGCTGTTCTCAGTGCTCCAGTTCTGCCTGGCTTCACCTGAATAGTTGTGGAAAACTACCTGAGACACTTAATACTCTGGACACAAAGGTCAAGGAGAAAAGATCAAGTTTCCCTATGAAGATCACAGTTTCTTTCAAAATAAAAAAATGTAGAAAATCAACAAATACAATTCTGAGCTATTTAAAAGAAAAATCACATGTTGGTCATATTGGTATAATTATAACAAAAAACAAATGGTTGATTTTAAATGTATTGAATTGATTTCTTTTTAGCCTGGATCCTATTTTGAAAACAGTAATTCTTCTCAGTATTTTTCTGGGTTTTCGTGGTGTTAGCAAATGCTGGACTGTGGGCTTCATAAACAGACAGGGACCTATTGATACGACACACAGACATATTTGTCGCTCAGGTATTCCCTCAGGCTTCCAGCCAAATAACTGGAAAGCCTCTCTGAATCAGATTTACACACTAACAAGCCTGGAAAGCCTATCTGAATCAGATTTACACACTAACAAGCTGTTTTCGTCTAGACTTCAGCAGAAGTGTGTTGTTATAAGGTGGGTCACATCCATAAATCCCCGGTGAATGAAACTTAAGTTGAGATGTGACCTAATCTTTGCAAAGGTGACTGTTGGTATTTGTGCACACGCACTGTCTCTGTGTGTGGTTGTTTGTCCACGAAAGTGTCAAATCCTCCTGTGTACGTGTTAAATATTCAGATTGTATCACATGTCTGGCGCTGACCTGAGTGTCAAGCAGCTGTTTTTTTTACCTTTTGTTGCGATCTGCTCAGTTCTGACCTGCGGTCTCTGTGCTTGGTGTAGTCGGGGCAGCCTGCGCTCCCCCGAGGTGTCTGCAGGTGATGACCAGGACGACGACGCCCGGCTGGAAGCAGAGCGCAAGCTGGAGGAGCTGAAGCGTCGCCGCGATGATGCCGAGACCGAGGAGTTTGAGAGGATGAGACAGAAGCAGCAGGAGGCTGAGGCCGAGCTGGAGGAGCTGAAGAAGAAGAGGGAGGAAAGGAGGAAGGTGCTGGAGGAGGAGGAGAAGCAGAAGAAGCAGGAGGAGGAGGAGAAGAAAGCCAGAGAGGAGGTAGAAATCAGGTTCTGTTTGTTATCGTCGTGGGTGAATTCTTACCGCAGGAATAAAATAACCGCCAGAGTTGATGTTTTCTTTTTTAGCTGATACATCGTCAGCAAAAGTATCCAAACCTCCCGTGGCAGCTGTAAAAAACATTTATGAGCCATGTTGCCACGAGACATGATGTCAACTTTTGTTTGTGGACGACTGAGTGAAACACAGCAGAACACAGTAACTCCCATAGAGCTGTCAGATCTCCCTGCAGTAGAAAAACCCTGCCATCTGTATGCTCTGGATTTTATGTTGTTTGTGGCAATGGGCATCATAGTAAAGAATGACATTTTAAATAGTGTATCACACCTCAAGTTTGACACCAGACAGAAAAAAAGATACTCACTCCTAACCAATGGGAATGTTTGTTGGAGCTGAATGAAAACTTTGTGATTCTATTCTACAATAGTTGCCATTCTTTTTTTTTGTACCTTGATACTTTAATCAATCAAAAATGCCCAAAGAGAGCAGTATTATTAGACTTTTAGTCTTTCAAACTGGAGCAGTCTGAAAGCAAATATTTTTGTTGTTCCTTTTGCATCTTTAACCAAAAGTAAGACTAAATAAACACCTGGGACATGATGTAACCTAGTTTTCCTGCATAGATTTATTTAATCTTTTACACAGATGTAAAAAAAAGTTGTCTTTTTGTCTTTACACCTGTGTTAGCAGCAGCTCGTGCATCACGATGGCGTTAAAAATGTGGTTTTATTATCACGTCTTTGTACTTTATCTATCACGGGGACTTTGCGTCGTCTCTATCCCTAATTTAATTATATCATTTCTTCTTCTCCGTATCGTAACAGTGACAACTGCATTCCCGTGTGTTCCGTGTTGTTGTTTTTCCTTTTCAACTGCTCGCGCTGAGACGCTGCGTTCCTACTATTAGTCTGACTGCTCGTCTTTGTTGATCCTGGCTGCAAGTGTGGCAGCGCGTCTCACACTATCTGCTCCTGTTCTTCTCCACTTCTGTGATGTTAATGAGGCCTTTTGGTTTGTAATTAAAAGATGGCCCAAAGATACAGAGAGACTAATTAACCAAGACATGGCTGTTGGAAAAGGCCGGACGCCCTGCCAAACTCTAGACCTAGTCTTAATACAGTGCCTCAAAGTGTCTCAAACATTCAATGTTGGTGGGAGAAAAAAAAACCTGTATTTCCTGAGCTTTTTTTTTTCTTGGCACAAGTGATCACTGTGAATAGGAATGGGTTGAGACTAATTAAATTTGCTCTTAACCTGCTTCATTGCTTAAAGTAAGTCAATCAATTAGAAAGTGGCACATAGTTATTGTAAGACATTGCTGTGCTACAGCTGTGAGCAGGGCTTTATTTTGACCAGTAAAATGATTACCTTGCAGTTTAATCTGAGGAGTTAAATGTTCACGTTGTCTTTAAACAAATTTTTGACCCTGGTTCTTGCTTATAGTGTTGTAAACAAGGCTTGTTGGCTGAGCCATTCCAGATAGGGTACTTTTTTGTGGTACTACTACCAGGGATGGGGCCGATCTGATGCAGTATCGCTATCGACAGCCCATCCCAACGTAGGAAAGGAGGAAGGTGCTGGAGGAGGAGGAGAAGCAGAAGAAGCAGGAGGAGGAGGAGAAGAAAGCCAGAGAGGAGGTAGAAATCAGGTTCTGTTTGTTATCGTCGTGGGTGAATTCTTACCGCAGGAATAAAATAACCGCCAGAGTTGATGTTTTCTTTTTTAGCTGATACATCGTCAGCAAAAGTATCCAAACCTCCCGTGGCAGCTGTAAAAAACATTTATGAGCCATGTTGCCACGAGACATGATGTCAACTTTTGTTTGTGGACGACTGAGTGAAACACAGCAGAACACAGTAACTCCCATAGAGCTGTCAGATCTCCCTGCAGTAGAAAAACCCTGCCATCTGTATGCTCTGGATTTTATGTTGTTTGTGGCAATGGGCATCATAGTAAAGAATGACATTTTAAATAGTGTATCACACCTCAAGTTTGACACCAGACAGAAAAAAAGATACTCACTCCTAACCAATGGGAATGTTTGTTGGAGCTGAATGAAAACTTTGTGATTCTATTCTACAATAGTTGCCATTCTTTTTTTTTGTACCTTGATACTTTAATCAATCAAAAATGCCCAAAGAGAGCAGTATTATTAGACTTTTAGTCTTTCAAACTGGAGCAGTCTGAAAGCAAATATTTTTGTTGTTCCTTTTGCATCTTTAACCAAAAGTAAGACTAAATAAACACCTGGGACATGATGTAACCTAGTTTTCCTGCATAGATTTATTTAATCTTTTACACAGATGTAAAAAAAAGTTGTCTTTTTGTCTTTACACCTGTGTTAGCAGCAGCTCGTGCATCACGATGGCGTTAAAAATGTGGTTTTATTATCACGTCTTTGTACTTTATCTATCACGGGGACTTTGCGTCGTCTCTATCCCTAATTTAATTATATCATTTCTTCTTCTCCGTATCGTAACAGTGACAACTGCATTCCCGTGTGTTCCGTGTTGTTGTTTTTCCTTTTCAACTGCTCGCGCTGAGACGCTGCGTTCCTACTATTAGTCTGACTGCTCGTCTTTGTTGATCCTGGCTGCAAGTGTGGCAGCGCGTCTCACACTATCTGCTCCTGTTCTTCTCCACTTCTGTGATGTTAATGAGGCCTTTTGGTTTGTAATTAAAAGATGGCCCAAAGATACAGAGAGACTAATTAACCAAGACATGGCTGTTGGAAAAGGCCGGACGCCCTGCCAAACTCTAGACCTAGTCTTAATACAGTGCCTCAAAGTGTCTCAAACATTCAATGTTGGTGGGAGAAAAAAAAAAACTGTATTTCCTGAGCTTTTTTTTTTCTTGGCACAAGTGATCACTGTGAATAGGAATGGGTTGAGACTAATTAAATTTGCTCTTAACCTGCTTCATTGCTTAAAGTAAGTCAATCAATTAGAAAGTGGCACATAGTTATTGTAAGACATTGCTGTGCTACAGCTGTGAGCAGGGCTTTATTTTGACCAGTAAAATGATTACCTTGCAGTTTAATCTGAGGAGTTAAATGTTCACGTTGTCTTTAAACAAATTTTTGACCCTGGTTCTTGCTTATAGTGTTGTAAACAAGGCTTGTTGGCTGAGCCATTCCAGATAGGGTACTTTTTTGTGGTACTACTACCAGGGATGGGGCCGCTCTGATGCAGTATCGCTATCGACAGCCCATCCCAACGTAATTAGTGGATCGGACCGATCCGATCCAACCTGTAAAGAATTCCGATCCACAAACCATGTCTGAGCTCCAGCCTTGGCTGATTGATTCCTGCCGGCGGGTCTGTTAGATGACTGTAAACATTGGAATCACGCTCTTGAACAGAACGTGGCTCAACAAGATTGTGAGGCACGCCGCAGTTCAGGAAATCCACTACACATTTTGCAGCAAGATAGCAGGCTGTTTAAAATGTTCAATTTCAAACCCATACAGTTGCATTTTTGTTTTAAGGATGGGGTTTTTCCTGTTAAGATGGTTTCTTGTATTTTGGACCTCAAGGTGCCTTTTGGGAAATACATGCATATAATAATATTATTAAAACAATACTATCGGTATTGGGATCGAATCGGAAGTGAAAAAACGTGGATCGGTGCATCCCTAACTACTACTATACTGGCGTTGTCCTCAACAATATTACTGTTCTACTACAGTCTCTCAAAGTCCATTGACCATTGTGTCAGCCATAGTCGTACTTTATGCCCAGTACTCGGCTGGGCTGAAGCCGGCCCAAATGCATTTTGGGTATTGAAATGGTATTTCAAACTAGAGGCACTTTTCCCAACAATCGGCTTAAATGACAACATCTTTATTGACTGTGCATTAAAGCAATTGGATATGAAGAGGGTGTCATTGTGACCGTGCAATAAATATATTTGAATTTTTAATCTGAATAATTTCACAATAAGCCCTAAATAAGAAGAAACATACAGAGGATTATTATCCCTCTAGTTAGGTCTGTTCTCTTTCCATAAAAGGCCTCTGGGTTTTTTTGTGTGTGTCTCTGCAAGGCTGTGCACTTCAGCAATTCAGCTTAAATCAGGCAAAGAAAGAATGGAGAGGCCAAGGCACTGCCTCATGGACAAACAGCTTTTAAACAAAGATGCCAAAATAAACCTCCTTTTTTTAATGTTTTTTATTTAAACAAATGTTAATTCCAAAACAGTCTGTTCATTTGTTGGCCGTCTGCTGATGTCTTTGCAGACACCATAATCAAAACAGAGTGGACGATCCTGGATTAGAGGTGCCTGAAAAGAATGTGCAGCACATATATATGCTGCTAGTGAATTATTGACGGCAGGTTAAAATGCTAAATATTCATTAAAATAATTAAAAGTCATTCCTCAATTTATTTCTACTTTCTGAGAAGTGTGCGTGTGTTGAACTCCTTTAACCACACACACATCTTTTTATCCTCAGGAGGAGAAGAGGAAGATGAAAGAGGAGATTGAAAGGAGGCGAGCAGAGGCTGCTGAGAAGAGGCAGAAAGTGGAGGACACTATGGACGGAGAGGAAAAACCCTTCAAGTGCGTCAGCCCCCGAGGCTCTTCTTTGAAGGTCAGTCCACCATTTTTAACCCCCTCACCCCCACCAGCAACTGTCAGTCTAGTCTGATCTTTCCTTTTAACCATCCTCGACGCTCCACGTCCTTTTAATGTTCAAGCACGTGGGCAGTTTGTAATGATAATGGAGGCCATTGAACCACTGACAATCAACTTGTAAGACACCTGTTGTACCCGCCGAGTCAGAGCAACACTGCAGATTAATGTTAATGAGTCTGCTGCTGGGAAATGAGGCTGTTGATGATGAAATGAGCCGATTGGTTGGTTGGATTTTCACAAACATTAAATATTTACTTAATTATTTTGTAATTCATTCAGATATGATGTTGACATCTGGTTTTGACCTAAATCAAATCCATCATGCATCACAATTAATTTAAATCTTATTCTAGATATTTTTGCATAGGTTATCACAAGTATGTTATATATAACAGAAAATTGGGGGCAGCCTATTAACAGCATATCTGCTGCTAACACAACAATTTCCCAAATGTGGGATCAATATAGTACAAATGTATTTTATTTTATTTTTATTGCCAGGCTCTGCTCTACATTATTAAAATGATGTGATTTCCTGTGGTCAGTTTGCTAATGTTCTATCAACTCCAATTGCCTCCCAGACTGGGCTTTACTTTGTCGTCATGTTCACTGTAGGTACAACTGTGTTTGTGCATGTGTGAAGTTTGTGTGAAGTTTGGATTTGCAGTGCTGTGTTACCATAGTGCTCTATTACTGTTGGGTTGTGCAGTGGGTCTGTGTTTTGTCTTTCAACCTTATATGTGTGTGTGTGTGCGTTTTATAAAACCTGAAGACAGTTTTGCTGACGCTAATGACCACAGTGGCGGTTCTGTGTTTAGGCACGGATTGGAAATGTTGACAGAGTGTCTGCACAGTGACCATTAGTCATATTAAAATATAATTAATCTGCCACTTAATAAGACAACATAATTATTTAATGCTTTTGGAGAGAATTAAGACTACGATAGATTCTTTGAGCTTTTTCAGGAAAAATATATCACATCTTCTTCATCTTTAAAAGGCTAGCAGCTAACAGTTTCTGTTCATCAGGTTTAAAAAGTTAAATACATTTTAAAAAATTATATTATTATAATATTCCCTACAACTGACCTAGAAGCAGATGACCCTATAAACACAGCAGGAGTGTGTTCTAATTACACACTGTAGTTTAAATGATATTTTTAGCTGCCTTGCTAAACGCTAACAGCATGTTAGCTTCTGCTCCAGGGTCTGCTAAGCCTAAAGCAAGTGCTGGAGTTAGTCAGCAGTGGGAAAATAAATAGGACAGTGGGAAGAGTTTATTGTTTACAAAACTCCAACACTTGATAAGTGCTAGTTTGAAGGTATTCTCTTTTCTATCTTAGACTGTTTAGGTTGCCAGCTAACAAATTAGCTTTTTCGTCTTACTTTTACTGATGGATTAAGATAAAAAGTAAGATTGATCTCTTGTAGCCGACTTTCTGCTGTGGTAAGCTGTAACTACTCCCGTTAGTCTGAGGTGTACTTGGACCCTTAGTTTTAAACATTTAATCTTTTCATGCTCAAATAGATGTTCTAACTTTAGCAGAAAAGTAGCAGCCCATCACATTAGCAATGGCTCTGTTTACATTGTTCACAGTAAATCATCCCAATGTGAACTGTTAGGCAACAAGAGAACATGACGGATTAAATAAATACTGTACGTTCATCACTTTGATCACTTACATCTGTGTGTTTTTGGTACTGTGACTCGTAAAAATGTCAAACCTGAATACACGAGTATGACATCATTACTAAACACAGTCATTTATAATGAGCTTTTTGACACACAAAAAATGACATTTTGACACGAAACAGTAGGAAAGTCACTGGTAAAATTAATGAGGTTAATGATTGCTACTTTCCATTTAGTTCCCACTGCACCGCTGCGACTGTACCGCAACACAACACCGTCATTGCCATTGTGATCGGTAACACCTGCACTTTTGTGGCTGAAGCTTTCAAACGTGGCTGCCGTTTGATACTGGGAAAGTCTGTGCCTGTTCTTGTTTGCTTCTGGGATTGAAGAAGAACACAGAGGCCACACCGGAACAATAAAGTTACAAACTGTACGAGGGAAACAATCAGAGTGAGGGGGGGGGGGAAGACTATAAAAATATCTGTAGTGCTCGGTTGAGGCACAGAGTTGGATAATTTTCAATTTGCTCAAATTCATTTGACCCACTGTTGACATAAAACAGCAGTTAAAGCATTTTTTATAAGCCTCACAGAAGACAATATGGTTCCATAAAGTGAAAAACAATGCACACACAGGGATTCATATTTATTTTATGTATATGTGTTTCTTGAGGTTTAGAAATGATGAGAGAAAATGGTTGTTTGTAAAAAAAAAAAAAAGAAAAAAAGTCAAAGAGTAAGCACGACACTCAGAAGAATCCTTTACAGGCCTGCTTTTTGTTTTCCCCCCTTTTTTTAACTGCCATATCGTGGCATCTCGCTTTATTTAAACAAGGAGAAATATGCAGTGCTATCAGCAATCAGGGGGAACACTGTGTCCCATGAGTTGTTATCTCCACTAAACCAGCAGAACTCTGCAGTGTACTATAGATAAAGTGCAGCATTGTCTGCTGGAGGACAGAGGGGCAGAATGAAGGACAGGCTGCAGGGACGCAGAAACCAGATTATGGTTAACAGGATTACTGTAACAGTGTTCAGATGGCTACAGCTCTTTAAAATGCAACTGAGAATGGGGAATTTCCTGCCAGAATGTATTTTGGGAACTCCTACATTGAGCAGCGACGGAATGTACGGCCCTTTCTGTCACTGAGGGGAGTGGGAGACAGTCTGCTGCGTCTCCTTTAGTCCGTTTAAATGTTTTTGTAAGCGTCCGACGGGGCGCATGCGTGCCCCCCCCCCAGCTTTTACCCGTTTTGTTTCATTATCATAAACAATCCTGTGACATTCCCACAGTCTAAAGGCAAAGAGAAATGTAGTGTGCTCCCTCCTCTTCCTCCTCCACCCCTCTCTCCCTCCCTCCTCCCTGTCTGTCTGTCTCTGTTTCTCTGGTCAGAGCACATCTTACTAATAATATATATATATATTTAAAAAAGAGAGAGAGAAATCCGTATGTATCTGCAGCCTGATTTAAATGACTATTGGCCGGAGGATACAGCACTCTATTGCTATTCAGTGTAATTCTGACAATCTACTAAGGATGTGTCATTATTTAAAATGGAATGCTTGCGTTTTCACCTCTGACCTCTAGTCACAAATGGCTTTTTACAATGGACCTCCTCCTGCAGTACTACAGGCCATAAAGAAACGATAGAAGCCAGAGGAAATCAAAAGGCAGCCTTGGCGTAACATCTGTTTTGAGTCTGCTGAAGAGTGAAGGGATAATATTGTGTTGCAGTGATGTATGCGTGAGTGGAACATCATTGCCATATTTATAACCCAGAGGCTTTCTAATGTTTCTGCACAGATTGGAGAGCGAGCGGAGTTCCTGAACAAGTCGGCACAGAAAAGGTAAAAATGCAACATGAGATATTGTCCCAGCATTTCTCTTTTTTTTTTTTTTTTTCCCTTTGAATATTTGTGTCTTGCCTTGCAGCAATAACCCAAAAAAGGAACCCACAAATGAAAGTTTCAGTGTCCTCTGCCAGAGATCCAAGACCAAATACTATATAATATTTATAGTGGCTTCATTTTTTTTTTTTTTTTTGGATGCACTGTGTGCTAACTGTGTGTTTTTGCCCCGCAGCACTGTGAAGGCGTCCATTTCCCCCATGGTGTCCAAGATAGACAACAGGCTGGAGCAGTACACCTCTGCTGCTCAGGTTTGCACTGCCTCCGTTGTGAAAATCTAAAACCTCTGCCATGTCAAACATTTAGTCCAGTCCATGTGGGGTAAGACAAACGCCCTGTGTCAAACCTTAGCTTAATGAAGAGACATCCAGGACGTCCAGGAATACGTGGAGAAGAAAAAGCTCAGCTCGACTCTCTGTACATTTTATGACTCACATGGTTGAATCATAGTTTAAATAAATTTTAAACTTTATCAAAGCAGATATGAAACAAGACAAATCTGCACACTTCACTTTTTAAAGCCACCACTTTGTCTGTGCAGAGGGAGAACAGGGAGTCTCGATCCCCTCGCTCCGGGGCGGTGGATTTGCCCGTGGTTACCGACAGCATACGAAACATCAAGAGCATGTGGGAGAAAGGCAACGTGTTCGGCTCGCCTGGAGGTGGAGGAAACACATTCAAGGTTAAAAAAAAAAAGTTTCTTGGGGCTGAAGTGGAGAGCATTTCCTGCTGGTGAGGACCAGCTTTAGCTGACCTTTAACCCCTGTCCAAACAGGAAGCAGCTGTGATGAAGACGGGCGTGGCCGGCCGCATCAATGAGTGGCTGAACAAAACCCCAGAGAGCGGGAAAACGTCAGGAGGAAGGCCAGCGGTAGGTTGTTGCCATCGCGACCTGAGCGACGACTCGTAACAAACGCTCAGGGCCGTTTTACTGTACAGAAATCCAACATGGTGGCTGCAGTGGTGCTGATTAATCAGTGCTGTTGTTACTGTGGTTGACATGAGGGTTGTATTCAGTTCTGTAATTATTTAAAATGCACCAAAAGCCAAAAGCAAATCCTAAAAATATTCATTTGTTGTTAATTTCATTTTTATTTTCCTATGGCCCTTTATTTCATTCAGTTCATCTTGTTTATTTGTTTTTATTATCAGAATCTCTGTCGTTTCCTCAGTAAAAAGATGAGCCTGTCAGATGTAAACTGCTACATTACCATAATAATGGCGTACTTTCTGCCACAGTACGTTTCACAATCATTTTCAAATGACGCATGTCAGGTTAATAAAGTCGTGGGTGTTTTTTGATGCATTTGTCTGGCGCCACCTGCTGGCAAAAACTCAAAACAACTCCCTTTTAGGTAATCAATGCAGGTAAAAAAATCTAATGAGTCTGTAAAAATAATCAGACCGACAACTTGGACAAATTGAGAATTCATTAAATTTTATATTAGTAATTAATCATGAACAAGTATTGCTTTGTTTGAAACCTGTATTTAAATACAGGTTTGTACTTGTACTTGAAAGTGCTTGACAACAATGTTGCATTTTTTAGGGTTTGATTATCTTTTGATTTTGAAAGATATTCTTTAAAAACTGCAGCAGTGAAAGTATCTTTCTCTCCTACTGAACCAAACGGTTCAGTAGGAGAGACTAAATTCAGAACTGCTCTGTCTGGTCTTTGTCTGTGTCTCTAGTCGTCTGTGCTTCACTGTGATCTGCCAGACCTCACACACAGGAAAAACAACAACAAAAAAAACAAATGTACCACAGCTGTACACTGGGGGAACTCTTTAAATCTGACCTGGAAAATGTCAGGATTTAACCCTGCAAGAGGGGAGTACACTGAGTGTCAGAGCAGAGCAGAGCGATGGGAACAGAGAAAAAGAACATGTTGGATTTCTACTGATGATGGAGCGGTGGAATTGGTCACGACCCAAACACATCGCATGGTGTTGGAATATAAGATTCAATTGTTTGACAAACAGTAAAGACCTTAGTTCTGTTGTTCCCAACTGTTTTAGCCTTATGACCCCATTTTCTAGTGACCCCATTGTAGTGTGTATTTTAATCAGTAAATTTTAACCTTAAAAATGTAAAAAAAAAAGTCTTGCCTGATAGAACGAATGTTACCAAATAGAAATCCTTAGCTGTCAGTTATGTACCGTAATTTCCGGACTTTTGAGTGCACCTGAATATAAGCCGAACTCCCTACATTTAAAAAGAAAAAAAGAATTGTACATATATAGGCCTCACTTCTCTATAAGCTGCAGGTGTCCAAGTTGTAATATGGGATATTTACCCAGAAATATATTCACTTTTAATTAAATAAATTAAACGTTAGCTCTTTCCTGCTTCAGCAAGGAAAGAGCACAGGGGAGACTTAGCTGCTCCTGGGCCGAAGCTAACGTTAGCTCCGGGGCTAACTTCCTTCACTTTGTGCTTGTCTGCAGCAGCGGTAAACACAAACTGGGAAGTTGGGGTCTTTATTATCAGCCCCCCCGAGCACAACAGAACATAAACAGCGTTTTAACAGCTCCTGTATAACCAACGCTTCAACATGACAGGTCGACAACTGCTCTAAGCTTTCGCTACCGTTCTCTTTTGAACGCGTGCCCCTCGCACATATGATCCAAAAGGTTTTTTCAGCACCAGGACCATAATCGGGATGACTGAGAATCTGCTTTGACATAGCGGCTTATAGTTCGGAAACTACAGTAACATGTCTTCACCTCTGGTTTTTGTCTCCTTGTCTCCACAGGACCTTAAACCTGTTGATGTCACCAACAAGAGAAATCTATGGGAAAACAAAGGATCTTCTCCAGCCAAGGTCTGAAGTCACAAATACACATACAGTTCAAATGTTTAACTGTCCAATGCTAGTTTTTATTAATAAAAACACAGAATAAAGTAACGTTTGTCAAAAATAGTCAGATTTAAGACTAACCATCACACTAACGAAACAATAACGTGATTGTCACACTCTTTGACGCTGGTTTGGTGTAATTGTGTGTGTGTTTCTGTTTTAAAGAACTCATAGCTAGTTGACGTTCACCATTAAATCTGGAATAAGCCTGGAGAGGTAAAAAAAAAAAAAAAACCTGAGCCGTGTTTTCTTAAAATTGCTTATCACACAGCGACCTCACGCTCGGCTGTCACACTGTCGACTTCTCTGCTCTCTCTCTGCTCTCTCTCTGTCTGTCTCTCTCTGTCTCTCTCTGTCTCTCTCTCTCTCTGACATTGGCGGGGCTTTGCTGCTGTGTTTGGATCTAACTCCACGCTGCCGCTTTATTCAATCTCACCGATAAGAGTTTTAACTCTGACGCGAGATATTGACAAATGTGTCGTCTTGTTTATCTGGAACTGATTGTACTCTGCTCACCAAAGTCATAACATATCTCAGGGATTGTGAAAGTTTTCACTCGTGAAATGTTTTTGAAAATGTTTTTTTTTTTTTTTTCATTTGTTTGTTTGGTTTTTTTTGTACTGTGCTCTAAGTAAGTGTTGTTAAATGAAGTAGCAAAATGAAGGCTTTAACAACAATGGGAGACAATTTGGAAGAAGGATTACGCCGCTGACTCCATTAACAGCAATAAGTCCTCGAACCAGACGCAGCAGAAAGCCCTCCAGATTAGGACTGAGTGTAAAGTCTGTCGTTAAGTGAACTTTAAAGCGCGTCTGTCGTCGGACCCTCGGAGCTGAAATGCTTTTTACAAATGGCTGTTTGTGTCACATTAGTGCTTTGTTCCTGTGATGACCCCAAATCACCGTTCACTCTCTGTCCGGCTTCACTTGACTTTTTATGGCCCTTACGGTGAAACTGTTTACAGCACTTTTCACGAGAGCGGCGTCTCCCCTCGAGTGGACAAAGGTGGTTTGACAGATGAGAATCACTGTTATTATAGTAGTCTCACCAGACGTGAGAAGAAGATGAAGGTTTTGACGTGAATATCTCCATCTGTGAATTTCTGTTTGAAAATCTGCTCAGTAATTTAATTGTTTGTAATGGAATTTCTTGCATTAACTCTGCTTCCTGCTCCAGTATTAGCATGTCCTTGTAGCTAACAACTGCAGAGCGGGCCGGGGAGTGCGGTCGAGCCCTGTTGAGGAGTGGGGTTGTGGGAGGGCACCAGGCGGTGGTCTGCACTGACGTAAAGAGAGTCCTGGACAGGAAAGGTGGTGGTTAGCAACGTTGTTATTAGTTAACCAGGCTATGCAGTGATGTCAGGGGAAGGGAGATGATGAAGATGATGATGGTGGTGGTGATGATGGGTGAGGGGAGTCTGCAGAGGAGGAGGTGGTCTCCACATGCTTTGACGAGAAACTCTGCTGGTATGTTTTTCTTTCTGGAAATGTCCTCGCTGCTTTATGACTTCCTGTCTTTGTGTCTTTTAGGTGGCAGGCAGAGGGGAGACCAAATCAGTCGCCAACGGTGAGTTTTTATCAGGAAAACCAGAAGTATTGTAGACAAGGAAGTGAACGAACATGCTGCGGCCGACCGTTGAACCTTTTAGAAAAACAAAAGTAGCTGAGTTCATGTTGTTGTTGTTTTTGGTTGATTGTTTTTTTTTACTTCATATTTTGTGCAAATATTAATATGTTGTTTGGTAGAGGTCGTGGAAAGGTCATGTTTGGAATCATGTTTCTTAACAAAGAAAAATATATTAAAAAAAAGAGAAATTGTTGCAGGCTGTAGGTCATTGGACCAGGCTGCAGAAAAAAAATGAAAACATATTGATCACAAAGTATTGATCATCAGTGCAAAACACATTTTATTTTTAAGATTTTATTTTTGAAAAGTCTAGCTTTTGTACGTTTTGAAGGTTAAAGATGAAATCTGACCTGACCTGGACCGACGGTATCAACTTCTCGTAACGTCTGTCATCGTGTCACTGCCTGTTTCGAATTTAGACTTTTTACACGACATGTGTCCAAATCCAATCAGTGACCTGGTCATAGTGTACAGCCCGTCTTTTTCAGGCTGCAGTTTGGCCCTTTGCTCCACAGCATTTCAAAATTCCACTTTAACATTGTTTGCTATTTTAAAATCACATCTCGCTGCGGCCTCCCATCTCCTCGTTTTGTTCTGCACAGCGGGGCAGACAACGAGGTTGCGACCTTTGTAAAAGCCCCCTAGTATGTCTGCGTAACATGCAGCACAGACACGGACATGCAGTAAAACTCTGCTCTCACCTCTGTAAACCCTCTCAACAGTCAACTCGACGCCAGTCAAAACTTTTCACTTTCCCCCTCGCGCTCATCCACTCCTGCTGCTCCAGGCCTCGGCGTCGTTGGCAGCGTTCCCTGGCAGGTCACTCTGTCACATTAATAGCTGGTATGTTGGCGATTAGCACAGCAGCGCACTCTGACTCTGAGGATGACACAGGCTTTGTATAGATTTTGTGCTTCCTGCCAGTAGTTGCTGACAGATATTCTGCAAGACTATTGGATGCTGTACAAGTTAGCAGCAGCACAAAGTCCACATGCTGTGCGTCGCTAGCGAGCTTCCAGCAGTGTTCACAATCCTGCTCTTGTTGCAAATGACACTCCGAGTGAATTTAATTTATACTTGGGGGACAAAGAGGACGACTTCCAAGTATAAATTTAGAAAAGTGAATTTTTGTGCCGTTGTGTTTGTTGTAAGAGAGCATGTCCAAATATGAATGCACCAACATGGACTTGTACAGAAAAGGTAAAACGAGCGATGATTCATTTTCTGGACTCCGCAGAACTCTCGGGTTTTATTCAATAAAATTTAGACTTTTCCCCTCGTCTGATGCCAAAAATCTGATACGGTTAAACAAGAAGTTGTAATGTTTGTGAAGTCACCCACCCTGCTTGGAGATGGTTCCATTTTCAGTTCCGTGCCTCCACTGTTTTAGTACTGGAGGCAAAATATCTCATTTAGACCAAACTGAAACGTTGTCTGGATGGATTTAAAAAGTCAGTCACTGAGAAAGTACAGTATGTGAGTTTGTTCCTGACGTGTTTCACTGTCATAGAGAAGGCAGCCATTTTGGACGTCGTTGGTGAAAATCTGCAATCTCTGTAGTTATCCTCACGTCCTGTAGAGGGTGCTGTAGTGCCATACTCCTTGGGGTGCCCGCCCCTTATTTTGGGAACCACTGCTTTTCACAATTATGTGAATTGTCTTGATAATAAACGTGATCTTTTTTATCCTTGTAAATACTCTACTTCCAAGAAACAAAAACAAGGGCCGAGGGCTGTTTCCCTGCACATTCATACATATTCCATACAAAGTCCTGCATACTGTAGCCCAGACATGGGCAAATTATGGCCCGGGGGCTGGATGCGGCCTGTTTGGATTTTTTTTTTACTTTTTGTTTTTTTGTTTACTGATCTAGTCCATCAATAAAATGGCTGACGTGTTTATAAACCAGGTTTATTTTCCTCATTCCTATACAGTTTTGCTGCAGCCAGTATCACGTTGCCTATACAGTACTTGTTAAGTACTCACTTCTGTGTACACGGCCTCTGTGTCAGGAGGTCACAGTCAGTATGTACCAGATGGCTGCTGTTTTTGGCCACGCTGCTAATGAACTGGTTCTGTTTTGTCCCCAGGGATGGGACACTAATGTCTTGAAGACGCCACTAAAGCAGGGGACCATGACAATCCGAGATGCTTCCTTTGACTTTGTCTTAACAACCAAAAAAAAAAGAAAAATGACCAAACTCCCTGGAGGGGGGGGCGACCCCAAGAAAACAGAAGGGCAGGAGAGCACCGAACTCGAACAACATCACAGTTATGTATGGTTGCTACGCTGAGTGCCTTTGCACATTTTATTATTATTATTATTATTATAATTATTTTAATTTTTTTAGCTTTCTAAAAGAAACAGAATGCTGTGAAATTTGGACATTTGTAATTACTGTTACTAATGACTTTCTACGGTCCTGCCAGGAGAAAGGAAAACAAATTAAATTTAGATTCATCGCTCGTCTCCGATGCCAAGAGTTTTGATAGAGACGGCGTAGATGAGAAAAACATTCCGAAGAGATGGTGAAATCCGCTCTCTCCCTCGTACAGATCATTTTCCATCTCGCTACTTCTTTTTTTTTTATTTATATTTAAAGCAAAAGCTTCACACATTTGCTATTTTATTCAACCCTCACCAATTCAGGATAGAAATACACACACCTAGAAGTTAGCTGATTTCACCTTTGTCAAGTCCTACCATTAGTGCAGCAATGGTCTGAGTAATATATGTGACCTGTATCTTATATAACACCTTTATAGTCAAAACAAAAGGTATTTTTGTGCTTTTTTTTTTGTATTCACAAACTATTCACCAACAGACGGAGTTGATTATCCAGGAGGCCATTATGATTTTTATTTTATTATCCTTTTTATATGTCATTTAATTTATGTCTTTGTGTGTCGTGTTTCCTGCTACTCCGAGCTGGTTTTGTAGCTTTTGTACCTGTGTGATCACTTTAAAAATCTTCAGACATTCCTCGTGCACAAGGTGCCTTCGCTGCTTTAAAGCTGTAGGTTTTATAATGTGGTGATATAATGGCAAACCACCTTTTTTTTTATAAAAACAAAAAAATACTACCTTTAAAGGTACACTGTGTAGGATTTAGTGGCTGAAGTATGTGGTGTTTTTATATCCCTGACCTGTCGGACAGTTTTTTCCTCAAAGCAACAGGGTTTTAATTAAATATTTTTTAAATTGATTTTGAAAATCAATTCAAGAACCCATCAATTATGGGTTCTTGGCCGTCATTGGATTTTAAGGTTTGTACCAAAAACAAAACCTAATAGAAATAGAAAGCTAAGTGGTTTTGGTCGCTAGTAAAGCTAATGTGTTCAATAGGAACATGACCTCCGTGTTTAGAAACGTCAAAGTACACGGACTAGATGTTAGTCATGTGACTAGACCAAATATTGCTGATGTTTTTAGACTTTAATACTCAACAGTAAATTCAGGGTTTCCCCAACCACTGGCATGGGGACCAGTATTGGACCATGAATCATTTGGTTTTGGGCCGAAGTTTTAGTTAGATATTTTTCATGTACATCAGTCTCCATGGTGATTTTTATTTTGTTTAGGTTTTTTTTTTTTTAAAGTGATCCCTTGCGTCGGCCACATTTGACCCTAAATTTTACACAGTGTACCTTTTATCTCATTATTATTTTGTTCTTTTTGTCTCTATGCACACTTTAACGCTCGGCATCACTTTCTAATTTGGGATAAATGCAGTAAACATTTAAAGTACATGTTATTGCAGTACATGGATATTCACCACTACTAACTGTTAGTACTGTCTCTGGTCTTATCAGTGCAGCTTCGACAGGAGCGGAGGTGAAGCTACGCAGTAGCCTCCGAGCAGCGGTATCACATCGAAGACTTTTTGTGTTTCATTTTCCGCCCTCGTGGCGCAGCCTCTCACACTCGACAAAAATTCGTATGGTTTGCCAGAGCATTAAATTGGTCCATGTCACTGCTCAAAGGTCTGACAATCACATTCCACGGCTCCTGAGAAGAGCAGAGGAGCTGGACCAAAATATTTGTAAGCGTGATATAATGTGATTTTTTTTTTTCGTTATTATTATTTTTATTTTACTACAGTGGTCTCATAATGATGCTTTGTTTTTGTTTTTCCTCTGTCTGTTTTTTATGTTTGTTTTTTTTATTATTATTATTTTACTTTCCATGTTTATCCAGACACTTGTTGTTGGTATAGTGCTACGCCTATGCAAAAAAACACACACACTCTCTCTCTCTCTCTCCCTCTCTCTCTCTCTCTCTCCCTCTCTCTCTCACTAGTTTCTGAACATTCCTAATGTCACACATGTGGGCAATTTCCAACTGGATGGATGTTTTAAACATTGTACCATTTTACAACAACAGCAATAAAGACATCGAGGTAATCCACATTGTAAAGTTTCATTGCGTTTGCTCCACCGCTCCACCGTCCGCCACGCTGCATCCACCAACGCCGCATGGAAACAATTAGAGTCTGGAGGTTGTGAAACAAATTACATTAGGTTTATTAAAGTTCCCCCTCGCTGGTGCATCGTTGTGTTTTTGACTGTGAATGCATCACAAGCACACGGAGTAAATAGTGCAAGTAGCTTTTAAGTTTTAAATAATTTCCACCACACGGTGGCATCATACTGATTCAAAAGTGTGTGTGTGAGTGTTAAAGAAGATCTTTGTCTTTCTTCAATTCCTGCAAGTTTATTTGACTAAACTGGCTCACTAAGTAAGTATGTTATATATTTGTCTAATGTAGAATATTTGGAGGAAAAAAAGAATGTGAAACTGAAATATCATACATTCCATGGAACAGAAGTGGCCCACGGGCCAGGAGTTTGGGACCCCTGCCTCCAAGATCTTTCAGGCCATTGGTGAGTCAATGCATTCAGGAATTGAACCAGATGTGATGGAAAATGAGTACAGAGATTTATTGGTGGATTGAAAGTCTACATATAGAATAGTAATTTTAACTGTCCAGTTAGTAACCACCATTGTTTATTACAGAGGTCACCAACCAGGGGGTCACGGACCAATCTTGGACCAGGAAATTTAGATAATTTGTGAGGAAAAAATGACTTCTGCCACATTTTTAGACATGTGAAAATAAAAGTCTTTAGATTTTTTTTTTAAGTTGAAAAATGAGCACACAGAAAACAAACCTTTAACTTATAATTATTATCTCAACCTTCTGTGTGTATTTTAAATCTACTGCCAACAGGTGAAGGTGAACCAGAGCAGCTCCAGTGTTTGGTACATTTATAACCTCATAATGTTCTGTGTGCCAGTTCAGTTCTTATTTCACTGCAGACGCCCGGCGCTGATGAATTGTTTTTCTCATTTCAGGCACAGAAACCAACAACGACTGTAAGGTACGTTTTTTTTTTTTCCTTCTTCTTCTCTACAGTTTCTAGATCAATCTTGTCTCCGGCCCAAAAACTCATTTGAAGTGTTACAAGTTAAGTTGTATTTCCAATTTCAGGCTCTGCACTGAAGAGGATTACGGTGGAGGCGGAGGCACTTGAAGGCACCATTCCCTGGCAGGTATAACTCATCTTTCTGACCCCCAACAATAGCTCTGGCAGCCTTGCCTGCTCATGGAGCAGATATGTGGTCACATGACAGACAAGGGTGTATTAAGAAGGGTTTTTTGGTGAGGTGGATGATTGAACTGTGTCTGTGTGGATGTGAGGATAAGAGCTGAACTTACTGCTAATCCCATCTCTTCCTGTGGGATATAGAGCAGGTAAGACCTGGTGCTGCATGACAGCACCGAGCTGGGGTGAGCCTTGTACCTTATAAACACGTCTGTAGATTTTTAGAACATTATGCAAAAGAAATCTTGACTAATGTGATGAAAACTTGTGTAATCTGTACCGACTTAACTCCATGAAGCCCTCACATTGATCTAACGGCGGCCGCTCCTCATACAAAGCCACGAGTGTTGAATTATATCGACTGAGACGCCGACTCTTGAAAGTCTTTTGATGCCTCGTCTTTGATGGGGGGGGCCCCGAGAGCGCGGGTGAGGAAGGTGCTAAGCTCCCGGCCCGGGCTGTGGTGTGGGCTGTGTGCTTTAGGTTTGGACTTAATGTGGCCGTGATGCTGAAAGCAGCAGCCGCAACATTCCTGCCTCTGTCAGACTCTGGGTTATTCCACACTTTGAGCCAGACGGGGACTGACCGCATGCATTAAGGCAAATACAGGTTTTAATACCCCGGCCAGGGCAGCCCGCATGCACTGTGGGCTCTTTTTAGGGGCCAGGGGGAGAGAGAGTGAGAGAGAGGGAGGGAGGAAGGTAGGGAGGAGAGGAGGGGGGTTTCCAGTCAGTGCCTTTGTTATTCATCATCCTCTGTCTTCTCTCGTCTTTTCCTCTCCGTCTCCTCACATTTCTCATCTTCCCATTCCCCGTCGTCTGACGTCAGCCGCCTCAGTCTGATGAAACTGGTAACAACCAGGCGGAGGCCCGGAGCAGCAGCATGTTTGAATTTAAGAGGAGTTGTAACAGAGTTTGAACAGGAGCATGACTGCGGTGTAGCACGGGAAGCAGAGAGTCAATGTGCAGCTGCTGATTTTAGAAGAAAAAAAAGAAGGAGGGAAGGAGGTGAGGTAGGGGGTGAGGGACTGGGAGAGGCAGCAGCGTCATCCAGTCAGCGTACAGTTGCTAAAAAGAGGAAATGAGGTGTTTTTTTCTGTTTCCCCAGTGCTTTTCTAAAGAGCAGGAACTTTTAGTACTTTTATTAAACTGACATTATTTTACTTCACATTAAAAAAATCTGAATCAGAAATCTGCTCATTTAGGTGAAATGTATTTTTGTTGTGAAACAGACTGAAGGTGGTTGTGATGTCACTGATTCTCCACCTGATCCTAAACCCATATTGACACCAAATAAGGGTTTAAAAAGTTGGTGCTGAGGATCATCAGCTGATCAGAATTCAGTGACTAAAATAACCCCTCACAATGTTCCCCGTGTGGATATTTTTGGAGACGGTCGATCCTGTTGTCTGGAGGAGTCCCAGGGTCCACACCTGCTCAAGAGCACATGCTATTATTCTTATATATAAACCCCCACCTCACCCGCAGTACTGACCCCAGCATTTTATGATCTGCTGATTTACAGACATTGTTTTTTAATTACCTGTTGTCAAGGTCTGCAGTGCACAGTTGTCCACTGACTGAATGTCAGGAAGCCCACAGTTGAGCCACCTTGGCCTTGTTAAACCCATGACTCTGACCTTGACCTTGACCTTGAAAACATCTCAGTGTTGACTTTCAGACTTGATGGACAACACCACTGTTTTATTGAACGTCGGAAGATGAATTTAAAGAGTTGGGATTGTGGGAAATAGTTCCTGTATGAAGGGCACAGCCAATCAGAGCGACGGACACTGTTCTGTTAGTTAAGTTTTGAATTAACTAGTTTAATTAAAAGTTGGAGACTCGAACCAGAGTCTCGTCTGTAGAGTCGTAGACAGACCGGTCTAGTGTCGCTAGGATGTGCTTATATTTACAGCGTCTGCCGAGCACCTGGGAAACTGTGTCCGAGTGCAAACATCAAAGCCGACAGGACATGCGCGGCTTCAGGTGCGTCGTAGCATCGCTCTGAAGAACCTGTGCAGTCCGGCTGCTTCCAGTGCTGCTCAGACTCCAGACAGCTGCCTGCAGCCTTGATCTGTGCCAAGAGGAAATGGCTGAGGATTAGGCCTGGAGCTGTTTAAAGCCCTGGGCCTGTGCTCACGGTGCCCGTGGTAGAATCATTCCACATTCTACGGTCCCTAGTCCAGTAGCCGCGTCAGGGTTTTCTCCTCTTTTATGGAGGTTTCTGCTGAGCTCTTTGTCCAAACGGTTAACACCAGGGGAGATCCACAGCCTCTGTCCAACGGGAAATGAGTTTGAAGGACTTCCACAGTTCCAGAACGAGACCAGTTCCAGAGAAACAGTTTAAAACAAAGGAATTCCAGAAATATATCTTGTCTTTGTCGACACTGTGAATGAGTAACAGTTCAAATTTTCCCTTTTTTTTTTTTTCTAGTGAAGAGTAATTTATTCGCAATGTCTGAAGAAGTTGTCCACGAAGTGGAGTGAGTATCTGAAATGTGTGTCAAATGTGATTTTATTAAAGGTTAAAAACTTTAAATCCGTTTTCTCTACTCTTTTATTTTTCAGGACGGTGGGTAAGTGAATTTTTTCTTTCTTTCTTTAAAAGCCTTTTTTTTAGCAAAGAGAAATGTCACTTTCATACCTTGGGAAGACAAAGCTGACCTGATTATGTCTCCTCAGAGGTAGAGATCCCGCAGGAGGAAGGTAAGATCTGCACGCCTTCACGTGCACGTGTGAGCGCGCTGGCACTGATGAAAGGCACTGTGTGTGTGTGTTGTGTCTCTTTGAATATTAACACTCGTCATTTGTCGGGCTCGGGTGGAAAAATAGTCACTTTGAAATTTCAAAGACCTCCATGTTTCGTGTTAAATATTCGTGGTGAAGGTTAAAAAAAATGTAGCCGTTTCTAAATGGTCTACATTAAGAAAGAGAACAAAAACTGCAACAAAAAAAAATTAAATACAGAAATATACATTTATTTTCCAGTACCACATTTTGCACTTCACAGGAGGCTTTGAAAGAGAAAATTTGATTTTTAAAGAATTCATTTTTTTCTATTCAGCCAAGGTAGTGGTTCACAAACTATTTCTACAGCGCCCCCTTTTGTAGAAAGTACTATTTCACAGGTATTTGTGCAAAACTTGATATAATAGTATATATATTAAAATATGTGTAGTGTATATACATATGATGTATACTGAATATATATATATATACTATGTATCTGTATTTATATATAAATAATTGAATGTTTTATATGTTTGTGTATGTATATATGCATGTATTTATATATACATACATGTATAGATATCTTAACATATATTCATATGTATATATGTGTAGATGTAGATTCACATATTAATATATGTGTATATATTTATGTAACTATAAATACCTATATATAAATATATTTATAAAGACTATTTTTTAAAAATTTAAATTCCATGACAGCAGCTCGACCAAAAAACATAATTCAATTCCTTTCTTCTGTTACAAACAGAATCAGACTGTGATCAGGAAACCGTCCCCTGTCGTGGTTTCTGTTCAGAATGCATGTCAGACTGTAGCTCTGAGATTTGTCTCCGTCCCAGTGGAAAACTTCACAGCGCTCGCAGACTCTGACCAAATTCCAGCCACATGCTCGTTCCCACCGCTTCACCGATCCACTAATCCATATTTTGCTGGCTCAGAACAGGGAACACGTCGTCTTTGTGTGTCTGCAAATAAATGATGGCTTCCTAGTGATTTTAACACTGAGGTGGTGATGGCTGTAGTGTTGCACAAAAACAACTGCACTTGGTTTCACCAATCCTATAGAGGGAGTGCCAACAGAAGGAGAGGCAACAGAGGGAGAGGCAACAGAAGGGGAGGCAACAGAAGAAGTTTATATTGACGAAGTTGCTCCTGAAGTAGAAGGTGATTTTTTTTCTTCTTTTATGTGTGGTCATGTATTTTTACAGCATTACTTCACCAAAGTTTATTAATATTTAATGTATATATTTGTCTCACTGTGTCATAAATGCTGGTTACTAAACAATATTTTCTGTGATCTCTGTTTCCCATCACCCTCAGAAACTCCTGCAGCAGCTCAAGGTAAAACAATTATTTTTTTAATTGCTAAATTACCGTATTCACCATGATAAAGCTGCAAAACATATTGTTATTTTACAAACTTTACATTGAGTTACAGGTGAATCTGCACATCGTCATTGGAAATGTCAAGCCATATATTTCCTAAAAAAGGGGCACTTGCTTTTTGAAATCTAATTCTATCATTTCCTACCTGACACATCAAATTCAAATTTTAAACACATTTTTAATTTACAGACAGAACAATACACTTTATCACAGTACAAGATTAATATCCATGTTATTTATACACACTGTGGGAAAGCGTTTTAATTTAACCAAAGCACCTAGACCTTAAAATAACATATATTTTGTAAAAAAAAAAAGTTTTATAAAACATAATTAAATAATCCATATTTGTTCTTCAGACCAACTTGTCTGAGATGTGGCCCACAGTCTCGTCCCATATGGTACACACGGGTCTGAAATGTCTTATTGTATCTGAGTCAAATGACCTGTGGTATAACGTTGTTATATTCAGAGTAAAAACAACATCTTGAGTTTGTGTTGTGATGTTTTCTTCACACATGCTGAAGTATTGATGAGTTGCTGTCTGTCTCTCCTTTGATCCCGATCGGCGTCTCTGATCGACTGCTCGTCCGACAGAACCTGCGGAAGAAGGTAAGTTGGGTGTTTATTTAAATATTTATGGCTGCCGCCAAGGAATAACCCTGAGCAGCTCGCCGTCTTTTATATCATCCAGTTTCAGAAAGAAATTTTAAACCTTATATTTATGTAAACCAGAAACAGCAGGTATTCGTTTTTCAATTCTCTTTTTAAGAATGAATTCCTATCGGCTGTAAACCTTAATACCCGGCTATTTATTTCTCCTCCACGCCATGATGTGTTTTTCTGATATATATCTGAATATATACTTTTGTAAAAAAAAAAAAAATTGCTTCCACTATCTGCAGGTGAAGCCTTCATGGCTTGAATTATATAGTTCCACAATATACGCAGCATGATAAGCAACTGTTCAGACTTTCTATTTTCCCATCTGACAAACCAGAAACCTTTTTCACATCGAGCTTCTTTCTCTGCTCTGAATTAAAGTGCGTTTGAAAGTAAATAAAAGTAAATCACTGGAAAACACTCACTCTCACGCTGACATAAGTCTGAGGAACAGAGTCTTCAGCTGCAGATGAAGTTACCCATCATCCTCATCACTATCGTATCTTCCCACAAACACCACCAGAGACCACTGGTCTGAACATATAATTTATAATCATTGTATGTATTTGTATATTTTAGTTTACTATTACTATTACTGCTAAACGTTCTGTGTTACAGTTACATCATATTTTTCGATATTCCACTTTTTTTTGTAGATGAAATGCAAATGACACCCAGTAGGTGGCAGTAATGTTGTTCAAAAGCTTCCAGCAGCTTAAACCCCGCCCCCCCCAAAAGAGTGGAGGGTTGAGGGAGGGATCAGCACACAATTTGGCAGTAGTAGTAGTAGTCGTAATATTTTTCATACAGTATTTTTTCATCATTCATTATTGATTAAGACCACTGTGATTTTATCTTTCTCAAATTGTATACCATAAAACCAAAAAAAATGTCTTTTTCAAAATCATTTTCAAAATGTTTGTGTTTTTCCTGTTGCAGATGATACGAGGCCCAAACCAAAGTAAGTGATTTATCGGTGGTAAAAATCATAAAAGTGATTTCCCTCAGACGACTAACAGAGCTCAGTGTAAATGTTTGACGTCGGTGTCTTGTGTTTCAGAGTTCTTCCTCCACCGATCTCTATGTCAAAGATACCAGAGGGAGACAAAGTCGACTTTGACGTGAGTGACTCTGAGACTGAGGAAGATTCTAGAAATGAGTGTCAACTTTTTTATTTTCTCTCGTCTCAAAATTGGAAAAAAATCACAAATATTTATTTCATTACCATACAAATATATATGAGATAAAACATTGTTTCCCAAAGACTGGGTCACGACCTTCAGGTGGGTCACAAGAGATTTTTTTTTGTCTCGCATCATGTTTCCCAGGAGTTTACGATTAATGTCTATTGACTTTGGTCGCGAAGGTTTGTTACTTTTAAAATATGAGTCCCTAGAAAAAAAGTTTGGGAAACACTGGTCTAAAATATATAAACGCTAATGGGAATTAGTGGGTTTTTTTAAATAGCTGAATTCATTAATTAAAAAAATAATGAGTAAACCTTGTGTGACCATAGGTTGAGCCACTAACTTATTAAATTGTGACTAAATGTGGGGTAAAAATTCAAATTTGGACACACCAGGACACGTGATCATGACTTTAAGATGAAGCAGTTCAGACCTCAAGGTCATGAAACTTTGACCTTTATAAATCAGATGTGAAAATTGAAGGTCCCCTTCAGTAGCACCTTAAATGTGTATGTGTGGTTAACTGCAGGACATCCATAAGAAACGTCAGGAGAAAGATCTGACGGAGCTCCACTCTCTGATCGAGGCCCACTTCGGCCAGAGGAAGAGAGACGAGGAGGAGCTGGTGGCTCTCGTTAAAAGGATTGTAAGTCTTCCAGGAAATCGTCAGACCGCCGCAGTGACACACACACACACACAAACACACCGACTGACAATTACATTGTGTGTTTTTGCCTTTGTGTGTTTGTGGGTGTGAAGGAGCGGCGTCGTGCTGAGCGGGCTGACCAGCAGAGGATCCGTGCTGAGAGGGAGAAGGAGCGGCAGGCTCGCCTCGCTGTGAGTGATTACAGTCGTTTCATCCTTTGCAGGACGTAACGCTACAAACAGCAAACAAATGACAGCCCCCCCCACACACACCCCACCCCCACCCCCCTGTGGTTCTGCCTCGTTTCAAAAATGCAATTAAAAGACTGGGAAGTGAGTGATTCTTGGTAAGAAATCTTGTCTGTCTGCAGGGGGCGACGCTGCACTAGTCAACACTGAGGCTCAATCAATCATGTCCAACCTATATTTAGACTGTTCTCAGATAATGTCGGGACAAAGTACAATGGCTTCAGTGTTACAGGCCTAATTAACTTTATTTATTAACTGTTAACCCAGTGAAAATTGTCATAGAAATAAAATGAAATGAAAAGATAAACTGTTTGATCATGTGCACAGATGGACCTACATACTATGATGTTTTTTAAACAAAATTATTTAGATGGACTTATAATGCATTGTTACTATTATGTACGTATATATCTGTGTACATATTTATATATACACATATATAAATACATATATACATTTATGTATATATGTATATATGTATGGTGATGGGTTAAAAGCAGAGGCTCAATTTTGTTGTAACCCCGTGTTAAAATGACAATAAAGACTATAAATTAATATCTATATATGTGTGTGTATATATATATGTATATATATATATATACATATATATGTATATATATATATACATATATATACACACACATATATATAGATATTAATTTATAGTCTTTATTGTCATTTTAACACGGGGTTACAACAAAATTGAGCCTCTGCTTTTAACCCATCACCATACATATATACATATATACATATATACATATATACATATATACATATATACATATATACATATATATACACATATATACATATATACATATATATGTATATATATATATATATATACATATATATATACACACACACATATGTGGAAGTCCTATTTATTGTTTTGTGAATTCTTCTGACACCCTGCTGGTGATGAGAATGAACTAATCAGCAAATAGATAAACAGTCTTCGGTACAAACAACTCAGCCCTGTCAGCCAGTGAGATGATAATGTGCCTTCGGGGGGCGCTACAGCTGGTTTCCAGAGTACACAGGAGGCTGAGGAAGATGTCTGTGAAATCAATATCAAAGCCTTCGTGATGGGAGACAGGTTTTTATTCTTGCAGCCACTGTAAAAGGTCACTTTGGTCTTTGAAAGGTGAACAGATGTTTCTCTCCTGCCCGCCCCGTCACCCCCACCACCAACACCACCACCACCACCACCACCTCCACCTCCACCTCCCCCCCTGACTGGTTTTTACAATGTGTTCTGCAGGAGGAGAAGGAGCGGAAGGAGCTGGAGGAGGCACGAAAAAAACAAGACGAAGATGCCAAGAAGAAGAAGGTTCTGACAACCATAACACTTGGTGGAGCCCAACAAAGGGTCAGTGACACCATGGCACCATGGGGGGAGTATGAGGGGGTCCAGTAGGTTATTTTTGTCTTACTGTCTTTGTGTGGAAAACCACACCTGAAAAAACAGGGGTCTCACACTACAATTAGAGTTTGGGGAGGTCGGGGGGGTACATTGTTACAGTTCAGTTTAATTGAAATAGTAAAGTGCGGGGGGGGGGTTTGGTCACATGTATGCAGTGTTGGGTGTGTGAACTGTTGGGAGTTTGTACTTCTATGCCGATAGTTCTTGGTACTATTTGATAGAGTAGTAATCCTTGGTAGTTCAACGTTAAAGGTTGAAATCTTTTTAGTTCAGGATTATAGTGAGGCCAGAGTACTGATGGAACATCTGTCTTTAATTATCAGAAGTTTAATTAAGTTATTTCACCAAACACTTTAAAGACTAAACACTTTAATTAAAGACTTTGATTAAACTACAGACAAATATGTGTGTGTGTGTTTGTCTGTAGTGCTGATGTTCCTTCAGTACTCTGGCCTCACTATAATCCTGGAGTAAAAAAAATTTCATACTCTTTGAAAACAGCCTTTAAACGTTCAACATATAGTACTACTCTAACATATAGTTTTACTCTACCATAAAGAACTACGCTACTATATAGTACCAAGAACTATTGGCACAGAATGATAAACTCCAAACAGTTGGCGATCAGTAACAGTCTGTTGTGGCAGGATGGTAAAAAAGGAGCAAAGAAGCAGACGGAGCGAGAGAAGAAAAGAAAGATTTTGGCTGAGAGGAGGAAGCCACTGAACATCGACCATCTGAACGAGGACAAACTGAAGTAGGAAACACTTTTGAAATTTGGATCAACCTACGTTGTCTGCGATTAAAGTGAGCCAAGGCCGTTGACTGGGAGTTCTGTTTGTTTTCAACTCTTTTTGTTCTCCCCCTCCCAGGGAGAAGGCCTCAGAGCTGTGGCAGTGGCTGATGACCCTGGAGTCCGAGTGGTTCGACCTCTCCAAGAACCTGATGAGACAGAAATATGATGTAAAATGGCTGTTTTCCTAAGTCTGCATTTGTGAGAGAATTAGTGTTATTAATACTCCTGCAGTGTTTACCCTTTACTTACTTACTTCTACTCACTTACTTTAGCGTTCCCACTCAAATGTGACCCGCCTGTTTTAACTGCTCTTAAACTAACACAAAACCGTAGCTATGTCAATTTTTGTGGTTAAAATTCAAAAAAAAAAAATTTTTTTGGCACGCCAACTTTTGATCACAGTAAAATCCTATACCTAAAATTTTTACTGAACAAATCTCCGAACAAAAAATTCTCAAAAATGACTAAAAACACACTCATTTGCCTTAAAATACTTATCTATGTCCATTTTTGTGGTTAAAATTTCGAAAAAAAACACTTTTTTGGTACGCCACCTTTTGATCACAGTTAAAATACGAGGCCAATAAGATCCTGAACAAATCTCCGGAAAAATTTTTTTTTTTCAAAAATGACTAAAACACACTCATTTGCCTTAAAATACTTAGCTATGTCCCTTTTTGTTGTTAAAATTCAGAAAAAATATACTTTTTTGGTACGCCAACTTTTGATCACAGTTAAAATACTAGACCAATAAGATCCTGAACAAATCTCTGAAAAAAAAAAGTTTCTCAAAAATGACTAAAAATACACTAATTTGCCTTAAAATACTTAGCTATGTCCATTTTTGTGGTTAAAATTCAGAAAAAATAGACTTTTTTGGTACGCCAACTTTTGATCACAGTTAAAATACGAGGCCCATAAGATCCTCAACAAATCGCCGAAAAAAAAGTTTCTCAAAAATCACTTAAAATACACTCATTTGCCTTAAAATACTTAGCTATGTCCATTTTTGTGGTTAAAATTCAGAAAAAATATAATTTTTTGCTACACCAACTTTGGATTCAGTAAAATCCTATATCTATAATTTCCTGAACAAATCTCCGAAAAAAAATGTTTCTCAAAAATGACTAAAAAACACATTAATTTGTCAACTGTCTTGACAAATTAATGTGTTTTTGTGAATTAGTGTGAGGACTATTAAGAATGACAGTAAATTAATTAGGACTATTAGGGTGAATTAGTGTGAGGACTATTAAGAATAAAGACTCAGTTGCGACTTCCACACAACCCATGAGTTTAATAGTCAGCCCAGTCAGAGACACTTCAGACTGCGATCTACAGGTGTTCACTGAATGGACTCTGTTTCTGTCCCTCCACAGGTTAAAGTGCTTCAGTCACGCATTCAGAACAACCAGAGGTAAGTTCCAATGAACTCACACCAAAAATACATTAGATTAGACTAGAGTACACTACAGTAAAGTAGACTGGAGACTAATTTGTACTACCTTCTTGTCTTTCTAATTTCTACATAGACCTTTATATCAGTTGTTGAATTTTACTTTGTTTGTATGTGCAAAAAATATGAGTTAATATTATATATCAATTAATTTATTTGTTGGATGAATTCACTCTACAGTGCCAAAGGAAGAGGAAAGACCAAAGGCAGGCTGCGATAGAGGAAACCTCCAAAAATCTTATAAATTAAACAACAGCGTTTAAAATTATACTTCGTTCATCACTGTTGCTGACATGAAATACGATTATTCCTGCATCATACATATAAAGAAGAAAATAAAGCAATGAAATTTAACTTAACTCTTGTCTTTTTTATATTTTAATTATAATTTTTGTTGCATTGGTTAAAAAAATGAATAAACTTAATTTTTTACCTAGAAAAATTTTAAAAAGGGAATTGTTTTCATACTCAGCTCAATATTAGAGGATTTTTTGGGAACTTAGTAGTAAAGTAAAGTAAAAATATTTTACTTTTTTATGTTTTAACTATGAAGATAAAGATAGCAACACATTTTTTCGACAAAATTATTATTTTCACATTTCATTTTTGGTCAGGTGGTGAAAAGATATGATAATGAGAAAAAAAGAAAAGCCTAAATTCTATCTTTTTGTCATTTTTCTCATCAAATTAAAGAATGGTAAAACAGGCAGCATGTTTTATGACTTAATCTTGCATTTTAGTGCCTTTCGGGGACTTTTTATTTTTATGGATTTTTTTCACGATGGTAAGGCTATAGTAAGGTGTGTTTTGGGTGATTTTTGAAATATTCATATAAAATATTTTTTGGACTTTTAAACACAAAATAAT